GGTTTTGGACTTTTGGGGGTTTTCTTGGGACGTCTGGAATCCGTCCCTTGAGGGGGGGGGTTCTGTTAGGGTTTTGTATTTATGTTTTCTTTTTTCCACCTTTGTTTTGAAATGTTTCCTCCTTGCGTCTTCTCTGTTCCTTCTTCCTGTGTTTGCCTTCCTGTCGTTAGTTTCCCTGGTTTGTCTGATTGTGTTCACCTGTTGCCCTTGTGTTTCTGCCTCCCTTACCCCAGCTGTGTCTTGTCTTGTGATTACCTCTCCCTGTATTTAGTCTTGTCTCGTCCTTTGTTCCCCTGTCGGTTCATTGTTGGTTTTTCCTGTCTCCCTCCATGTCAGTCACGGTTGTCTCTCCTGTCTCCCTCCATGTGGTCACGGTCAGTTTTTGTACAACCTATTTGTTTCTTGCCATGTTTTTGTTCAGCTTTTAAAATAAAGCTCGCTTTTTGTTTCGAGACCTTTTACCTTTTTTGATAGTCTGCATTTGGGTCCTACCCTTCCACGCATCCTAACACAATCATTTTTCAAATTACGAATTTCACATATATAAAAAAAACGGACAGACATATAGATAGGATACTTCATTCATCCCAAATTGTGAAATGTGTGGAAACAAGTATAAACATAATAACATGAAATACAAATGAAAGCAATAGACAGGAATATATGCATATACAGTAGAAAGGACACAATGAATATTATAACATTTAATGTAGCTATACTACAGTATGAAGGCTAACCTAAATACGGTGCTTTTCTACAGATTACCTTATCTGCACTGGTAAGGTAAAACTAGGCCGATTAATAAGATGTGAAGTGCTTTGTAACTTTGACCCACTTGACTGAATACACAAAAAACAATGAAGAAAGAGTTTCCTCTGGGCTGCTTCGCTGCCAGCTGCTCCCCCGGGACCCGAAAGTGGCATAGCCTGTACTTCAACATCAATGCATACGAATGTGCTCGATATATGCTGTATTGAACCAATAAACTAACACAAACTAACTGTAACACAAACTAACTGTATCACTATAACATGATGATGGTGATGAAGAATGCATCTAACGTTCCGCTGTTCATTATAATACAAAAACAGAGTATTAAACAAACCATCATGCTCTTACTTTGAAATCATGCGGAAATGTCGTCATCAGCAGGCCATCACGTGGTTTCCGAAAATAACCGAGTGACACGAGTGGATTTTTTGCCGAGACCGGCGGAAAGTATGTCTCAAAATTCCGTGTGTGTAAAAAGACGATCCACAAGCAGAGATTTGAGATCCACAAGCAGAGATTTGAGATCCACAAGTAGAGATTTGAGATCTGCAAGCGCATTTTTGGTTGACAAATACAACATGGATTCACAAATGCCTGATCGAAAGTTGTCAATGTTAAAGAGATATTCACAGATCTTTTTTTTATTTGTGAAAATATTTAGCCTATTTGCAGATCCGTTTTACATTTGCAAATTTATTTGTGAGTTTGCAAATCTTTTAAATGCATTTGTGGATGGTGTTTTACATTTACAAATCACATATTTACACACAAATTATTTTTCTGTTCACACAAATAATTATGAGACATATCTATGCCCATACAGAAGCGTCTCGGCGCTGGGCTCCGCTCAAAATAGACGCGAGGCGTTGCAGAGGCGCCGGGCAGGAAGTGGACCGGTCAGAGCATCCGGCCCATCCCCAAAATAAACTAATGTTGCAGACCCTATCCCTCCGTAGTCTTTCAAGTAGGAGGAGAAATGCCAGCGTTCTCCTCCGGTTTACAGGCACTGTGTAAATTATATATATAGAATAATTATGATGATGAATGCATTTTTTTACCACTAAAATACAGCAACACGTCTTTGATTCATGTCGTTTATAACTGGGATATTACAATTATTATTTAATTGTTTATTTGAACCGGGACAGTGCACATTAATGAACATTTTAAACAAAATAATGTTTCCAAATGTAAATGAGCCGGATTTTAGCTTAACTTTGTCTGTACAAAGTAGCCTGTCCAGGAAATATGCCCAAATCAACAAAAACTGCGAGCCGGCAGGCAAGACGCTCCGCTTCTGAAATGCTTCTGAAACGCACCCGGAAAAAATTATTGATAATCCATAATTCAATTTGTATGCAAAAATCGGAGAATAAAAATTAGCTGCTAATGGTAGCCACCATAGGTTAGCGCAGCTTCCGGTTTTTCTACGCATCACTCTCACTCCTTATTTGGTAACCTGTGTGTGTATGTGGAACTTTCCCTCGATTCCATAGCCGCGTTCACACCGGAGTACTTTCACCGTACTTTTCGCGTTTTAGTTCCGTGAGTCGCGTTCACACCAAAAATCGTACTTAATCTCGGGTACTTTTACCCCCATTTTTAGAGCCAACTCAGAGAGCGTACTTTTCTGTGGGTGAAAAGTTCTCCAAAAGTGCCCCAGTGCTGATTGGCTGGGCGAATTGCAAACCACGCCCGTACAACTCTGAAAATGTTGTGTAGAGCCGCCATTGTTTTTCCTCGCTACAAAAACACAACGCTCCGTGCGTTGTGTTTGTTTTTGAAAGCAGTTATGGCAAGCATCAAGAAATGATGAGGAGGTGTCGGCGCTTCTGGAGATCTACGCAGAGGACGCGACCCAGGGAATGCACTGAAGCCAGTTCAGTAGCTTTCACTCGACCTGGGAATGTGCACAGCCCCACGGCACACCGGCTAAAAATAAAGAAACTCGGGCAGGACTACAAACGGCGGATTCAGTGGCCAACGATGACGACCACGACGAAGGTAAAATCAACTACATGCACTGGGGTTTTAATCTGCACAATAATGGTCTCAGATGTACTTTTATTTGCTCAGTAGATCAAGCTAGCCATGCTAGCCATAATAGGCTAACACCGGCCCCGAGCACACAGTACACACACACTGTAACTTTGTCTTGAAAGAACGTTACGCATCGAACTGATGTTCACAATCATGTTTATTTCATAATATTCATCATATTTTATGTTTAACTTGCCTCAACAACATTAAACAAAGTTCAAGCATACATGAAGCACTCTTCAAAAAGGAACAATCCTCCGTGTTTGAACCTCTTAAATCGCTGCATAGCCGATTTATCTGGACTGGATTATCCCAGAGAGTCAAAAGATTCTTTATAACACAGTTTCAGATTTGTGAAACCTTAATTCTATTTGTGAAAATACAAAAAACACATTCCTAGTATGTTGTAAAACTACATGGCGACTAAACTTGTATATTGTATATTGCTTATTTTCCCCTCTTAGGAAAGCGGACACGGGATGCGAATTTCTTTGACACCGCCCAGGCGTTGGAGGACCGGCGTGCCGTGGTGAATGAGTCGCTGCGTGGAGATCAGATGGTGCTGTTCACCAAGGCCCAGGAAACGGAGGACAAGATGCTCACCTCGATGGAGCGCCAGGCAGAAGTGTTCAAGCAGCAGATGGAGCCCGCAGCACCAGGATGAAGTGTGGGCGCTGCGCTATGAGGAAGCGTCGGCGCAGCGGCAGGATGAGCGACAAACTGCATTTAATAACAGTTTATTTGGTATAGTTTTTGTAAATACTGACACACGACACACAACGTTGCACTAAGGTGTGCATGCTGCTGAGAATATCCCTACACCTGGGACAGTTTATTTTATATTGTTATTACTGTTATGACTTTATTTTATATATAATGTTTACTGACATGTACAACTGACACTTTATTTACATTTAAAATTGTTCTATTTAATGTTATGTCTTGAGTGCAATAAAGAAAACCGACATGGCGATTAAGCTTATTTCTCCTGACACTTTATCTTTTGTGACCTGTGTAGCATCCTATACATCACATGTAAGTGATTATTCTGATACCATCATGTTTCATCGGTTATAAACTGGCAAAGCTTTATTTGTCATTTATTTATCATCAATGTTGCAACCTTGTGGGGGAATGGCAGGGGCACATACACAAATATGATAATTTATATCATTTTAAATATTATTTGACCTAAACTTTTAATTCCCCCCCATTTCACACAACACAACATGGAGTCCACTATGGGCCAAAACTAACATGTATGTTTGCATAGTGTTTATGGCAGACGGATGCAGTGGGTCTCAGGAAGATATATAATAAAGGTGGGTTTGCTGCTGAGACTCCCTACAGCTGGGAGTTTATTTTATATTGTTATTACTGTTATTATATAGTACAACTGACACTTTATTTTATATTGACAATGTTTACTGACATGTACAACTGACACTTTAGTTACATTTAAAATATTTCTATTTAATGTTATGTCTTGAGAGTGCAATAAAGAAAACCGACATGGCGATTAAACAGATCCTGTATCAGTTTTTCTTCTTCTCTTGTTTTGTAGCGGGTTGCAAACAACTTTAAGGTGCTTACCGCCACCTACTGTACTTGTAATCTTCCCTCAGGGAAAAGTACTCCGGTGTGAACGCGATCTGTACTAAGTACCCTGGGGTTAAAAGCGCCAGGGCTCTTAGTGCCGGAACTAAGTACAGGAAAGTACTTGGTGTGAACGCGGCTATAGGCTCTAGCGGTTAAAAAGAGATGTCAATCAGCAAAATCGACCAAGGGGGCCAGAGATAGGTCAAATCCACCCAAATGACCCCAGAAGTGTTTTTTTGTTGCTAAATCTCTCTAAAAAGGTCAAATGTAACTTGTTTTGCATCAATCTTGATACAGGGTACTTATTATATGTTGTACTTTGGATTCCTAAAGCTTTTAGTCTACTAACCCATCATCCAAGGGTAATAATAACATTAATGAGCATCTACAATATGTGGATTTGACGACACTTTCCAATGCTGAATCTCAGTCCTGCACATTCTTGTTGTGGCTCATCTCAAACAAGCCTATAGTGTTGACCAATAGAATTAAAGCTGCCCTGCTTCCAAAAAGAACTCCCTTATGCATCTTATACATGAAAACATAATGGTTTTAAACAGCTTAGACTCAAATAAAAGAAATGTGTTTACCCGTCTTCTTTTGTCCACGGGCATGCCGGCAGCGTTCAGGGCAGCGATCCTGTTCTCTATGTAGGAGACCTGGAAAGAGGAGAGAGTGCACACTGTTAAGCATATTTGTATAAGAACAAAGTCATGTTTCAGTTCATGTGTATATGACATCATCAGAATGTGCCTGAGTGTGAAAGAAACGTGGTGATGCTAATGAGCATGCGCAGATGCAATAAACGGTCAGTTCTCCAGGCCAAACTCAGTGTGGTCGTGTGTTTTTTCTGTCCGTTACAACTAGTAAGATGATGCTTACAAACTACTTTGGTTGACTGCAAACGTGGAGACTTCTGCTGAATATAATGTCTCACGCAACACACATTATCATCCAACAGATCCAACATGGCCGCTAATCTGATCTCAGCCTCAGTTGTTCCTCACCTCGCTCTGAGCGTTCTGCACGTTGGCAGCTGCCTGAGCTACTTTGTCCTCCAGCTCAACCAGGAGGGCTGTGGAGCCTCTGAAGCCCGTCTGGGACCCGTTCTCCAGGGGGGGGGTCTACAAGAGAAATGGGAGGAAATAATAAAACATAAATAGTGGTAGTAAGTAGCTGTGGGGTTGGTGGGACATGGTATGCATTCATTAAAGAAACCTTGAACACGGGGGACACTGACATGTTTTAGGCAACTCAAGAGAGTAGCCTTCATTAACATGCAAAAGTGTAACAGTGTGCTTATGTGCTTTTTCACGTTATTACAGGCCAATATCTCAGCCATTATTAGATCATTGCAGATATAGAGGAGATAAAGAGATCTGGAATCAGTGTTCAAGGTGGAGCACATTAATTACACTGACAGTGTGGCAGATGTTGCCTCACACATGGAGCCTAAAAAGTTTCACTTTCAGGAATAAAAGCAACCGATGATCTTCAGTTCCAAGGGGCCCATAGAGCCATGGCACTAGAGACATCTGCCAGCTAAGCCAGAAAATGTAAAAGGGGCTAAAATAATATAATATTGCAGTTCTTCTAGACTCCAGTAACATTAGGTTATCAACAAACATTATAAAATTGATTTACAGGTGTTTGTTTTTCCTTGTTAATCTATAGACCGTCTTTTTGGACCTAATGGCATCACATGCTGCACCCTGAGTCTGTAATTACACAATTTAACCACTCTTTCAAAATGGCTTTCGTTCTGGGGACTTGGTTGTAGTGCCTACACTCAACAAAAGATATGGCAGATTGCAAGGCAGTCATGTGATTATTTGTAGTCCTGTCAACTATTTCGGATCAGCAAAAATACTTTTGTGAATTAATTTGGAAGGTAATGACCAAAGAACCTAGCTTGTTGTTTAGGATGACCTGTTATGGAGCAATAGTCCACCTTGAACTCTAATTCCAGATCTCTTTATCACCTATATATCTGCGAAATAGTCCAGATCAGCCATGTCTGAAATGATGAATCGGACCTGTAGACCATCTCACAATTGTAATCATTCTAAATGTGTCCCAGTTTTGTTACTGTTGCAATCACATGAGCTGACAGGAAGTAGTAATGGAGCAAAGCTGTTGTCAAGCAATACAATTCCATTGGAACAGCATATACCATCCTCTCTAGCAGGGAACAGATCTCAGTATGTTTATAGGAAAACATCTTCCCTTAGCATCATATTCTGTAAAGCAGGAAAAACGATTTGGTCTGACAATAAGCAGTGCACAAGGGCTGCTGGGAGATCAGAGGTTCAGCTGACCTTTGCCCCCTTCAGTCACTCTGTAAAAGCTTCACAAGCCTGGGCCTTATCAGCTTCTGACTTCAGAGGAGGTTTCCTGCTGTAAACGCTTATGTTATGTGATACTTTAAATCCTGAAGAGAGGCCATGCAGTTTGAACCTTTCTGTGTAAAATGATAAATAGAAAACACTAAATCATTACTCAGTGTAGCTGTGTGACTTTGAAAGGGAAAGAGATGCCAGTTCAAACAGTTCAGGCAACTTAACACATCGACTAAGAGTGAGTTATTCTTCTAATCCTATCTTTGTTTCAGAAAATCTGGGAGTAATGGTTGCACAGAACAATAAACACTCAGGCTGAGTGACTAGATTTATGACTCCAGTGTGTGCTTAGAGTGGATTCCTGCAAATGGAATTTCATGAGCTAGGCTGTTTTCTTATATTACAGTATATGCAAAAATCCACATGTGCACTACATTATGTATGTGTATGACCAAGATAGCATTAAATGCTTGTGTGTGTTCGTCATTTTCTAGGCTGATGTTGCACTTTTTTTTATAGACATTTGTACCTTCTGAGAATCGGTGAGCTGAGGCTGCTCCTCCTCCAGTCTGCACAGGATGATGCTGCTTCTGGACGGGGGTCTGGTAGGTATTCTGGTGGGCTTGGTGTCCGCCTCGTGGCTCCTCCATGCTGGGATGTCCTGGGAGGACAGTGGCCTGCTGGGCTCGTCTTCGTCAGAGCTCAGGCTGTGGTCGCTGATGTTGTCCGTCATCTGGTGCAGCTTCAGCCTCAGCTGCTGCTCCTCCAGGTCCACGTCCTCACACTGAGGAGGAGGAGAGGAGCTGCTCGGAGTCTGAGGACCCTCGCTCGCCTGTCGGAGAGAGCAGGGAATATGATGTTGAGAGACACATCTGTGCCAAGGGAGTCAAACATACGGCCTGCAGGCCAGATCCTGCCCGCCAGAGGGTCCAATCCGGCCCACAGGATGACTTGCAAAGTGTAAAATTACAGAGAACTGCACAAAAAAGTTTGTACAGTGGTGTGTCAGTTCAGGTGGTCAGGATTACTACACAGATGTGGAAAGGAATGTAAAATCATTTCCAGATCTTATCCAAGCATTATATGGAATATTGAGACTTTATAGACACACTGTGATCTGTACGTTTTAATGCACATGTGTAAATGATAAACTAACTAACTAACTGAACCAAAAACACATCCCTCCTGGCAGGGGTCCCACCCTTTGAACAGTGACGCTCCTATTTACGCTGCATGTCCTTTCTTAGGATCAGAATCTCAAAGGATGCTGACTTTGGCTGGTGGAGGAAGTTGTATCCCTTTGTTTGAGCCCTCCTCTGGCATTTTTGTACATTTTTCCTGACTTTTTTTTTTGATTTGGTGATCATTTCAGCTGTGTTCCAGCTTTTGGCATGGAATTTTATAAGAAGTCTTCTTTTGAGTCACATTTTTTAAATCCATTGTCGTTTACTCTTACATGTTTTGTATACTGTCGTGATGCATTTTGCACCCTCGGGACACCTTCGTGGCAAAAATGTACACGCCCCAAAAAACTGCTATTAAATCATCATACATCAATATTTTGTTCTACTTTTTTTTTTTCATGAATCACTTAAACAACTTCTAACGTGCTCAAAACTACCAAACAAAAAAAATAAAATCTGGATTTTAACCCTTTAAATACCTGTTTCATTATTTGAATTATCTAATTAATTATGACAAAATAGCATATATATGTGTATAATAATTAGTAGGGGGATGGAACTTTGGTGGTTATTAGAGTCTTGGATATGTCAAAGATTAGCAACAAAATAGATTTGACTGCATTATTATTTTTTACGTAGTGTCAGATACTACCTCTGGACACCTTCGTGGCCAAAAATGCCTCATTGACCTCCATTCAAACCACATTTGTTGATCTCACTGCCATTGCAGTATAAACCATGCATTTTGTAATGTCAGCATTTCATTTAGAAGAAAAGTAGTGATACAGTATTTGATATTTCTACTCTATTCCACCAGATTCAACCATTTTCCCACAGTAGGCCGATGCATGAAATTCTTACATTTCTGCCGGTTATATTATGGAGCCGTGTGACTATCAGGGGGCCCCGAGACACACACACACACACACACACACACACACACACACACACACACACACACACACACACACACACACACACACACACACACACACAACACACACACACACACACACACACACACACACACACACATCACACACACACACACACACACACACACACACACACACACACACACACACACACACACACACACACACACACACACACACAACACACACACACACACACACACACACACACACACACACACACACACACACACACACACACACACACACACACACACACACACACACCGCGGCACTGTGAGTGCAGACGTCGATGTGTCCCATTATCATTCATATCACATCATAATGTATCATATATTTCCTTATCTGAGTCAGCTTCTTGAGCCGTATCTGGCCGTGCAACACTCACAGTGTCACATACTGTATGCAGAAGTATTATTTTAAGCAACACATTAAGTTGACGAAACACTCGAGTCAAATGTAATTAAAGTCAGATCCACTCGTGTCTTGGACGGGGCAGTGATTTCATAAACCTGTTAATGTACGCATTCAAACACTTTTTCTTTTACCAGCTGTATTCACCTTGCAGGTGCAGCTATGTGGCTTTGATCCTGGATAAAGTGTTTAAGTCATGGATGTTTAAAGTTTAACTTCTTCATATTTGTCTAATATTATACTTTACTTTTCATTCAGGAAGTATGACGCTGCGCTGTCAGTACGCTTCTCCATGTTTGTGATTGGTCAAATGTTGCTAGCCCCGCCCCTTTCATGTGAACGCGCACTCAGCCGGACAGAGAAACCCTGGCTTGAGTTACCGAGTTGATAACCAGCGTCGTAGGACCGTTTAGCGAGAGCGCGTTTGTTTTGGATTAGGTAAACCGGGTAACTCAAACATATCCAGGGTATGTTGAACTGGATTCGTAGTACAGGCCTCAGAGGTAGTATCTGATACTGCGTAAACAATAATAATGCAGTCAAATCAATTTTGTTGCTAATCTTTGACATATCCAAGACTCTAATAACCACCAAAGTTCATTTTTTGAGTTTTTTTGTCATAAATAATTAGATAATTCAAATAATGAAACAGGCATTTAAAGGGTTAAAATCCAGATTTTCTTTTAAAATGTTTGGTAGTTTTGAGCACGTTAGAAGTTGTTTAAGTGATTCATGAAAAAAAAAGTAGAAAAAAATATTGATGTATGATGATTTAATAGCAGTTTTTTGGGGCGGGTACATTTTTGCCACGAAGGTGTCGAAAGGATGACAATTCGAAGAGGGCACAAGGGTTAAAACATAGCATGTATCACCATGTGCCTATCATAGAGGATCTTTTTGAATTATATTTTTAAACATTTAAATCTGAGCTGTAGACTGAGGTATTACTAATTAACATAACCTCAGGGTTAGCGTTACTTAGCTAGCCAGCTACAGATTATAAAATCTGCTATCAAGAGTTATCATTTCAGCCTATGGGTACAGGAAGTGAAGGTAATCATCTTGATGTCACACATACGTTTGTGGGCAAAAGTTTTGAAGTGGGAAGCAAAGAACAACGAAACGCTGAACAAAGTATCTTATGCGATCAAAATGTTACAATTATATTTGTACACACTGTGAATACCCGGCTTTGTTATCTACCATAATTTAGAAAAATGAACAGTATGTTGTCTTAAAGAAGACTTTTAATGCATTTTCTAAATTCTAAACTTAAAGGTGGGGTATATAATTTATTTCAGAAACACTTTTTGTTATATTCCATGGAATGCTCTTAACATCCCGATAGCAATGAATATATTAAATGCTTTGACAATAAATACATTCAAAATGTCATCTGTGGAAGCTGTAGTACTGTAAAAAGCACGACCAATCATTTGAGCCGGCCCGGTTAAAATAACTGGATGGCCTACCTGCCTGTCAGCCTTCCATCTGTGCACAAACTTATCTCGTGCCCTCATTGGTCATGTGCGCATTCGTGTGTGTTGGAGGAGGGGCTCTGTAAGGAAGTCTGAAGGAAGTGGCAGATTTTTACCGGTTGTGTACTTTCAAATTCTAGCGCACTCGAGCTGGTTTCTCTAAAATTACATACCCCACCTTTAATGTATTTGGTGTCCTTAGAGTGGCCCCCTAATGGCCATTGAAGAGAAAGCAGGTTTAAAGCTGATACAATTATAGGTCATTGCAGGGCTGCCCCCTGGCCAAGTTGTGGCCCCACGCAACATTGTGTGAAGAGGCCCCTCCGGGTCCGGTCTTAGCACTGGAGCCTCGCAGCGGGGAAACTGTGGCGTGCATAGTAGCACCGCATTGGCGCATAAGATTAATTGCGCCACATTTGCGCATATGTCGAGGCCCCCTCTGCAAGATGAGGCCCCCTCCGCAAGGTGAGGCCCCACGCAGTCTGCGTAATCTGCGTGTAGGGAGGGGTGAGCCTGGGTCATTGGCTAAAAGGAGAAGTCTGATTTTGTTTGTCTTTGTTTTAGTTTTTACAACAGTTGCTATAATTTTCAAATTGGTAAAAGCCACTGTCATCACAAAAAACTGCATATGACAGACTGTTGACTAGACTGGCTGTGTTGCCATGCTTTCTGGCCGAGGTTCGTCCTCCACTGACAGGGCTGTTAGCTGAAACAGGAGCAGCTCTATAGGAGAGGTACATTTATAATATGGTCCATGAATGTATGAAAGCATGAGACCTCTTTAAACTATCAGATGGACACTCACACGGACGTGTTGCGTGCAGTCTGCTCTGAGAACACCTGCTCAATGTGCTATATGCACATTTATTAAAGCTGTGCTTTACCACAAGCGAGAAGAAAGATATCAGTCTATTAAATCTAGCATTTGTAGCAGAATAGCCACTTAATACCAGCCAAGCTTCGCTTCAGTTGAGCTTACAGTTTGCTGATTTTGTGGGTTTGCTCATTCTCTGATGACAAAACAGACATAGTAATCACTGTTGAGAGGAGAATGGAAAGTCTGCCCCTCTTCATCATCAGAGGGCCTAAGCACTGAGATAAAATATTCGGAGCAAATATAAATATTTCAAAATATAACGAATTGATCACATAAATGAACCCACTTACTCATTCATAATGAGTGTATTGCCTGCAGTAAATAGAGAGAAAACCTACAGGTGACCCAGCAGGAAAGCTAAATTAAGCAATGTGCAATACACCAACAACAGATAAGTATCCAATACAACACAACTTCAAAAAACGAACCCATCCCTTTAAAGATACAAAAACCAATAATCATCGTACGTAGCCGACAACTATACGAAGAAAAATCACAGATCTCTCTTTACTTTTACGCTAACAGCAGGAACAAGCACAACTAGAGACAGATTAGCGAGCAGATTATGATGCACATGTATCCTGCCCTAACGTGTCTGCAGTTTTGAATAATTACTGCAAACAAAGGGTCTGACGACGAATATGATGAGAATTTGGCAACCATGGTGAGCTATTTAATGGACTTACCTCATCGTATGTGGAGGTGACATTCTGCTCTAAGTGGTTTAAGAGGTTCTCAATGGCTGACACACGTCTGTTCAGGTCAGTGATCTGCAGAGAGACAGTGTGTCAGACACAGACAGATGATGAACACAAGATATGATGAAGACAGAAACTTTAGCAGGATTTCAGAAGCATAGACCAATTATTTTATCAATGAACATAAATTGGAAAACTTAGAAAAGTTAACCCAGACGTATTAATAGTTCCTTAAAAACAAGATTTTAGAGCTAACATGATACTGTTGAAATCTTCATGTCATATGATATTAATTTCACTCAGAGTGAACAAATAAGACATCATCAGCGGCTATGGGCTGATCCAATCACCTCTAATTTCTAATTTCACTGTAATTGAAAGAGTCCGCTCTAAAATTACTTTTGAGAAGCAGTTTTAGGTTTTTTTTCTTTTCGGTAGCATTTTTTTGTCTAGAAAATATGGAAAATTAAAAGATTTGAGCTAAAAGAAAAACCAAAAAGGAATAAAACTCAAAATATGAATTTGAGTCCAATTTGAACATGGAGTAGAGGGTCACCCAGCCTCTTGAAATGGGTATTAAAAGAATGAACACTCACTTGGCACAACTTTTTTCAGACCCACAAGTCATAAACAAAGAAGAATAAACAAGAAATGAATCAGCAGGTATTTTTACCCACATGTGTCTAAGGCTTTCTGTAGTTTAAGGAAATAAAACAAGTTGTACTTGGATAATGGGTCGATGCAATGATATCTTTCCCTATTGGGTCCCTGGGTTCAGGAATAGTCTAATCAGAAAGTACAGAACAGACACTCATAAGACACATGTTCAAAGTGAGCTCTCAGACAACAGTTCCTCTCAGACTGTGTTGAAATCATGCCTCCTGTCCTCATTCTCAGACATAAACCATGACCCTCATTCTGACCCTAACCAGCGGTTACCTAATCATGAGGATCTACTTAAAGCAGTGGTTCTCAAACTTTTTCTGTCAGGCCCCCCCTTTGGAGAAAAAAAAAGGTCGGGCCCCCCCCAACACAAATAGTCACGTAATGGGCCAAGTTAACATTTATTAAAATACATCAATATGAACGTGAGCATTCCTTTCAAAAAATAAAAAAATCACTTTGCTAGAACAGTGATAATAAAACAATGCTCCATAAGTCTGTGTGCTCAAAAAAATAAATACAATTGTGCAATCTTTTTTTGGGGGTGCTGTGGGGTAGCTTGACGTTTCATAGAGGGTGCTCAAACATTTAGGGTTTCCCATTAATGTACCGGTCGGTTCAGTTGAATTTTGTACTGCAACATTCCCCACGCACATACACAGTGTACCCATGACTGTTACAATGAAGGCTCGATAATCAGCTCACGGCATATAGGTGTAAGCAGGGGTAAAGTGCTATTTTTATAGGTGGTGTGTGGACCTCACATCCTCTAGGGGTCCCTTCCCCCGGGAAGATTTGTTTTTTAATATTGAAGTTAAAAGCATCAATCTGGCACTTTGAGAGCAACATGAAGAGATCTATGGATACATCTCTCAACACCCATATGAAACAGAACTGTAAACAGATTTACTATTTCTTTATGGATATTTTACAAATCACTCCCCTTTCAAACTTTATTCTTGTTTTACTGTCATGTAGTATTTCATACCTGTTTTTCATTTATTCTCTTATTTTTTTATATCTATAATGATCATATAAATGCCTCGGAAATAATTGTTTACATTAATCGTGACCAAACCGTTTTGAGACCCACTGAGATAACTAATCTCAGTGGGTAATCTAAACACTGAGAGAGTCCTTTACCTCACTGAGCTGAGGTTATCTGAGCTTCTCAGTCTGACAGGCGAGAGTTCTCCCTCCACCTTGTTGTTGAAAAAGCTAACAACAACAATCTCCGGTACCAGTTTTCTCTCTCTCGTCTCTCTCTCTCTCTCTCTCTCTCTCTCTCTCTCGCTCTCGCTCTCGCTCTCGCTCTCGCTCTCGCTCTCGCTCTCGCTCTCGCTCTCGCTCTCTCTCTCTCTCTCTCTCTCTCTCTCGCTCTCGCTCTCGCTCTCGCTCTCGCTCTCGCTCTCGCTCTCGCTCTCGCTCTCGCTCTCGCTCTCGCTCTCGCTCTCGCTCTCGCTCTCTCTCTCTCGCTCTCGCTCTCGCTTCTCGCTCTCGCTCGCTCTCGCTCTCGCTCTCGCTCTCGCTCTCGCTCTCGCTCTCGCTCTCGCTCTCGCTCTCGCTCTCGCTCTCGCTCTCGCTCTCGCTCTCGCTCTCGCTCTCGCTCTCGCTCTCGCTCTCGCTCTCGCTCTCGCTCTCGCTCTCTCTCTCTCTCTCGCTCTCGCTCTCGCTCTCGCTCTCGCTCTCGCTCTCGCTCTCGCTCTCGCTCTCGCTCTCGCTCTCGCTCGCGCTCGCTCGTGCACGCACACAAAATGGCTCGTTCCACACACACACACACAGAGCCGAGCTTGAATGAAACACAGAGACCCAGACGTACTTGTACTGTACTGTAGCATATTATTTTCGAATCACATATAAAAATAAAAAAGACATACATTTCTTGGGGGTGCTTAGAGGGTGCTATGGCTATCCTAGGGGGACCTGCAGCACCCCCTAGCGCCCCCCTGACGCCGCCTATTGACCTTCCATCCTCAACATGTACATTACACACCTGTGTCCTACAGCGCCCTCATAGGTTTCTAAGGTTTCTAAGTTTAACTTCCGCCGGTCATGCCGACGTCATAACAAATTTATTTTCAAAAAATCTTTTTCAATTTTTTTTTTTTGTCATAACAATTTTTCCTCCTGGTCTCTCGTGCCCCCTCTGTCATGCCTCTGCGACCCCCAGGGTCCCCACTTTGAGAAACACTGACTTAAAGCAAGCTGGGCTCCCTGTGTAGACAGAAGTGTATTTGTTCCATCAGACTCTTCTCACTCAAACCTGTCAAACGAGACAGCTTGTTCAGTGGCCACATGTTTAAACTATATTTAATGTCTCATACTGCCTGTGCTGCACCTCTTTTCACCCTCTGTCTGAAACCAGAGCCCAGTCTGTTGAAGATGGTCAGCATATCACTTACAGTGGGTTGTAGCTCTAACCAAGAGAAGCGCACGTGTTACATAGTGATGTCACTATGTCCCTGGAGTAAACAAAGGAGTCCAATGGGGGCGTTTCAAAGCCCACAATGCACAATGGGGCCTCAGGTCAAAGATCAGGTCAGGTGATACTGATTCAGATTCAGAATCAGCTTTATTGCCAAGTAGATTCATACACACATTTAAGTTCCTGGTGTTGGGTTGAGATCTGGATCTGGAAAATATCCCTTCATTGGGCTTTGCATTAAATACTTCAGATTTGTTGGGTTTCCTTGCTCGTTTATTCAGAATTCTCCTATAAATTGTAATTTGTCTGGATAATGAACATGTAAACAATTTTTGACTCATCAAGATGTCTTTCGACAAACATAATTAAACGGGATATGTGTTGCTTGGCAGCTTGAATTGTTTTCAAATCAGAATCAAATGGAAGGAAAGCGACAGCTGTGCGCAGGAAGAGCAGGGGTCTGAACAGCCAATGGGAACTGTCAGGCTGCATCTGATGTCTGACAGACACATGTTTGGATTTCTGCTGTTTCCTGTTTGTGTCTTCCAGCTGTGAGACAAATTTGCCATGACACCAGACATCGAAGGTGGCCATCAGCAAAGGGCGGGGGGGTTTGATAACAGCAGCCCTCCTGTTGTCACGGCTGCCGTCACCTCTTCTTTGTTTTTGTTTTCAAAGAACATCTTTTGATTCGGAAAGACAGTGTTACACCCTCAAAATGAACAGTGGTGGACCAAGTTTTCGATTGAATTACTTAAAAACATTGTTAAATTACCCTTATATAAAGTTTGTATAAAGTACTGTATACTAAACCTTCCATAAGTAAAAGGGTACAGTATGTAGGTAAGTGTTAATAGAAAAATGTACATACATACTAAATAGTAAAAGTATTTGTTGTGTAGTAAAATGTTCCCTGAATTCATGTGAATGTATTTAGCTGCTGTAGATGTTTAAGGCAAGGCAAGTTTATTTATATAGCACCTTTCAACACAAGGCCATTCAAAGTGCTTTACAAAAATGAACGACAATAAGAGCATTAAGAAACATATTATAAAATGATATCTAGAAACACACATTTAAAAGCAATGATATAAAATGACATTTAAAAACACTCATTTAAAAGCAAAGATAAAAAGCAAAGATAATAAAAGTTACAGTGCAGTTTAAGATATGAATATATAAATTAAAAGCAGCAGCAAAAAGAAAAGTCTTCAGCTTGGATTTAAAAGTAGTAAGAGTTGCAGCGGACCTGCAGGTTTCTGAGAGTTTGTTCCAGATATTTGGAGTATAATAACTGAACGCTGCTTCTCCATGTTTAGTTCTGACTCTGGGGACAGAAAGCTGACCAGTCCCTGAAGACCTGAGAGATCTGGATGGTTCATAATTTAGCAGTAGATCAGAAATGTATTTTGGGCCTAAACCATTCAAAGCTTTATAAACCAGCAGCAGTATTTTGAAATCTATTCTTTGACACACAGGAAGCCAGTGTAAAGATTTCAGAACAGGAGTGATGTGATCCACTTTCTTAGTGTTAGTGAGGACTCGAGCAGCGGCGTTCTGAATTAGCTGCAGCTTTCTAATAGATTTTTTAGTGAGACCTGTAAAGACACCATTACAGTAGTCGAGTCTACTGAAGATAAAAGCATGGACAAGTTTTTCCAAATCCTGTTGTGACATTAGTCTTTTAATCCTAGATATATTCTTTAGGTGATAGTAGGCTGATTTAGTAACTGTTTTAATGTGACTGTTGAAACTCAGGTCAGAGTCCATGACGCTAACTTTTATACGTTCTGCCTTGGCTCCAAAAACCATTACCTCAGTTTTATCTTTGTTTAATTGGAGAAAGTTCTGACACATCCAGTCATTGATTTGTTCAATGCACTTACTCAGTGTTTGAATTGAAGCATAGTCTCCTGGTGAAATGGTTATGTAAATGTGGGTGTCATCCGCATAGCTATGGTAACCTATGTTGTTGTTATTCATTATCTGAGCCATTGGTAGCATGTAGATGTTAAAGAGAAGAGGCCCCAAGATGGAGCCTTGAGGAACCCCACATGTCATATTTGTCAACTCAGATGTGTATTTACCTATAGAAACAAAGTTGTTTCTGTCCTTTAAGTAGGACTCAAACCAATTTAGAACTGTTGCCGAAAGTCCCACCCAGTTTTCCTGTCGGTCTAGTAATATGTTGTGGTCAACAGTGTCAAACACAGCACATATTAAACGCAGTTTAAGGTTGTGCTCATTTTAATTCCTTTATATACTGTTGTGTAGTTTAGTGTACAGCAATGCATCACATTCAAGATCTTCATATGTTTGTAGCTTTGTCCCGTGAGAACCACGTGTCTCTACATGCCAACTTGTTGAGGTTCTCAGAAAAGCAGTTGTTTTCAGCTTTGTGTATTCGCTGATCTAGGGTCATATAAAGTATCTCACATTTTAACTTAAATATACAGTACTTCTCGAGTGAATGTATTAGTTACATTGCAGCACTAATAAGTGAACATGAGGTTCCACAGTGTGTCTGAGGGGCGCATGAGGACGTGTAGGAAGCAGAGTCTGTTTTCTATCTGCTCCCATCACCACGTGTCCTGATGCTTTCCAGACACTTGTTGTATATCAAATAAATAGACACTGATGTAATGTACGAGACGTCCTCTCATCTACCAGCTGTATCCCCCCCACGTCACTCAACGTCTCAGTCTGAGGAACTCTTGTCTGTGAGTGTGTTCTAAAGCAACATGTGCAGCTAGAAAGACCAAATTGCAAAATGAAGAGAAGTTTTCATTTTTCTTTTATCTTTTACTCAGAAATATACTCCTAAACCTATAGTTCTGTTTAAGTATCTTACCTTGCGCTTTATTGCTCATTTGAAGAAAAAAGAAATGTCCCTCTAACACATGTTAGTTGTACAGTGACATCATATACATACATCATGTGGTCATATTTAGCTTATTGCAATTCTCACTTTGTCCCTGAATATATCTGGTTAAGCAGTTTATATCTAATAAAAAATATATAATGGATAGCCAGCATAATTATTTTTAATTGGAGGGATGAAACCCTCTTTAATGGTCACGCATGCAGAGCACAGCACACACAGTGACATTTGGCCTCTGCATTTAACCCATCCTAGTACTAGAAGCAGTGGGCAGCTATTGTACAGCGCCCGGGGAACAATGGGAGTGGGGGGATGTCCTGTGCCTTGCTCAAGGGCACCACGGCAGGGCAGGAGGTGAACTGGGACCTCTCCAAGTAGCAGTCCACACTCCATATTTTAAGACTGTTCGGGGACTTGAACCGGCGGCCCTACGGCTCCAGGTCCAAGCCCCTACTGATTGAGCCACTGCCGGATGCCATTACACCACATGTCAAATAAAAAGAAAAGTTGTAATGGTTTTTAGTGCCTCTTGGTCTAACATGCTTTTTTAGAGGCTTTTAAAATGTGCCAAGAAAAAATACAACAATAAAAGCCATATGGATTGTTAAATCATCAGTAAAATTAATTGATATCAGACAGAATATCTGTGCATTGATAGGACTGGATTGTGTAAGGAGGTTGGACATTTTGATGAATAAATGTCACATTTCTAAAAATGTTTTTACAGCTTAGTTTCAGGAAGAAGACATTGCCTCCCTTCTCACGATCCAATCTCCTGCAGACCTGTAGGCGTGTCCAACATTTTCTCTGGAGCTTGTCTCAGTTCTCACAATCCCCCCCCCCCCCCGACCCTATTCTTCTCTATATTCTTTCAGCAGGATTAGGGTTAGAGATAGCACCGTTGCTCAACGCATAGCACGGTGGCCACACATCTAAAATATACTGGATACATTTTCCTGGGGGGTAATGTAGACTCAGAGACTAAAGAAGTGCCCCAACCTTGAGCCCGGACCACATTATTTCCTGTGTGGGTCGTTCATACCATGCAGTTGACCCACTCCCCAACCTTTACTCCTTTACTCAGCCCACACCAAACATGACCCAATCTTTTCCGAATCCGAATTCCAAAAATATATTATTTTGTACTGTTTGTGTTAATACGTGCAGAATAGTGGTGGGCGATACCACAACATTTGTTTTGACATTCTGTCCAAATAATAAAGCTACAAGTTAATGTCTTATTATGTGGGTGAGAAAAATGTGTCATGATTTACGAGCTGAATGCATCATTAACAGGCAACCGGTTTTATGATACATTTTTTTACGAGGGCTAAATCTGTATTAATGAGTATTTCATATGGATCATATTAAAAACCTGTGGTGGGGCGTTTGGTGTGTTCAGGCTCTCCTGGGAGGTGTGGCTGCAGGGGCCCAGATGGGACTGGTAGAGGGGGTAGAGCTGGTCGTCCTCCTCGGAGTCTTCAGGGCCGGGCAGATAGCTGCCCTGAGGGCCCCATGCACTGCCACTGCCACACGAGGAGTAGCTGAGCTGGGACATGGAGCGAGAGGGAATAGTTTGGCTCTCCGGGTACCCAAGGTCATCTGGAGAAAATATGAGGTCAGGAGTTCAAAACTGTTCCACATTTCTGTCAATCTCACGGTTTAATTAGAGTATTATATCAATGTCACACAATACAAATAGAAAAACAAATAGCCATTCTGTTCAGTCACCTTGACCATTGGGAGAACCCAGCCCTCAGGAAGTATGCCGGCATTGAGGCAACACTCAACACTCAGATGTGCCACTGAGCAACTTTCAGAGGAATGAACATGGGCCCTGCCTGAACGCTGTATTCAGTTCCCTTGATTCATATATCATGCGTAGAACTCATTTATTACCGCAGCTACATAAATAACGGCCAATTTTGGTCAAAGTTAGTCAAACTGCTGAAGAAGAAAACACATTTGGAGGGAGATTAGACTAAAACATAGAAACAGACAGGTATAAAAAACAAAACAAATCAAGCTTTAATTAACTAAAGCTAATCACAAAAACTGTAAAACACACAAACAAAGAGGGGACAACATAGACTGTATCAAGAAAAAGAAAGAAGACAAACCGGAATGGCACAAGGTACAAGAGTAACAAAATAAATCAGCAATGGACACATAAATGCAGAGAGACCGCATCAGAAACACTGACAGAGACACACAGAGACAGACAGGCAAACAGACAGGACACATCTGACAAGACAGTGGGCAGGTAAAGACAGCAGGGCAGCACGTGATTGGACACAGGTGGAAAGACTGAGGGCGGGGCAAACAATCACAAAAGGCGGGGAAACCAAAAGCCAGGAAGTTAAAACAGACATAACCCAGGGGAAGGAAACGTTTTCAAAGTAAAACAGGAAACACAAAGACGGATCATGACATTATGTTGATTACAAAATACATTTTGAAAATGCATTTCTTATAGTGTAGAAAAACCCTATAGGCCTAAAGGAATCATAGTGCATGTGACCTGTTCATGATGTGACTTCTCTTCCTCTGTATAAATGCTGCACTAATGATCGTTGAAAGTGTTTCTCCTCTCTTTACCTTGCTGTGGAGCCATCCTCAGGTCCAGACCTTTGCGCTTCTCATCCAAAATCTGGTGAAAAACAGACGCCATGTCCGCCTCAGCAAGCATGGACTCCCTCCCCCCCCCATCCATCAGATCCTGGGAGACTGGGGCCTGAGGAAGAGGATGGAGAGTGGTGAGTGCTGATGAAGCACAGTGGAGATGATGATGCTGGTCAGGTTTAGCTAAAAGCTTAGCATCAGGGAGGAGGTGTGTGAAGGCTTTGCGGTTGTCACATAGGTGATTGGATAAAGTAAGAGCAAGGTATAATATCAATCAATAAATCACTAAATGACTTGTTGCTTCAAATTAATTTCAAGCTACATTAATACATTTGAGATACAAAAAATACCTTATTATATAAAAAAATTAATTAGGAGGTGGACCTATCTTACTGTACAGTAAAATCATTAAAAGTGGCACATATTATTATTTATACTAATAACATTTTTTGTATTTATTTATTTATAATAGAAATAATGTTGACAAGATTAGAAAGTACAATGGGCTACCATAATAATGAGTAAAGCTGGTTCAAGTTGTGGTAAAACATTAATTTATGTAAAATACACGTATTGATAAATGTAATGACTAAATCTATCTTTACTCTTTTGTTAAATAACTCAGGGTGTCTGACCTAGTTTGCCAGCTGTAGTGTGGTGGTGGGCTTTATGTTGGTCAAGGCCAAAAACTGCTTCAGAGTTAATCAGATTTCTTTTAGGAATGAAAACTGAAGATTGAAGAGTCTATTTCATCTTTAAGTGATGACACCGTGACTTGGTTTCATGCCACTTGAGTCTCTTGAAATGTGCTTAAATGTTGTTGAACGTTGTGTTAATGAGCTGACAAGATGTCTTAGTGTCTGTGCACAAACACACGTATGCACATATGGATACACAATGAGTGTATTGTAGCCAAATACGAGAATGAATAATGACATGGCTTAGCGCTAATGTAATATTGCCAGAAACTGTTTGGCAAAGAAGAAAAACAGAAACAAGCTAAGCAGAAACAGACAATAGAGCTGGTGGTCTGGCTGACAGACGTTCTGCAGCTGCTACCTGAAGTGGCCGTCCTCTGGACTCGATGAAGCAGTCAAGGCCCAGTTCAAAATCAAAAGGATCGACAGTAAGACGCCTTTTAACCTTTTTCATCTGTGGAGAGCAGACAGGGAAACACCATCACCAGCATAGAGTAGAGAGTACAGAGGAGAGAAAGAAGAGAACAGGTGCTGAGCCCAGAGAGGAGAGGAAGGATTCAGAAATCACCACGCAAATCGATTGAGAATACCCAAATGAAGCACATGTAACCATCATACTGTTATTTGGAGATAACAACCTGTAGGACCATTTACAAAACATACTGTTGTTCTGTATTTATTGTTAGTGTCAAAGCCTATTCGAACATTCTGGATGAATAATATAAAGTGATTTTTTTTTGGTCCAGCAGACAGATTGTTATTGAGTTTTTCAGAACAGCAGTTAGTGTTGTAAGTGGGTTGCTGAGAAAAAACAGATGCTTTGCTGTTACTGATGTTGTTGCATGTGAGGGACAAACGGGCTCTGTAACCTGGAAGGACAGAAACTTATTTAAGACCCATACATGTTCAACCCTGTGCTGTAGATAGAGGATCCTCTCTACTGAATAATCCTCAGCACCCTGCAGACTCCTACTACCACCCTGCAGTGCATTGTGGGTGCAATTGTCAGGAACGAGCTTGAGTGAAGGGTTACAGAAGCCAGTGCATATTTGGACCAGTAGAGGGCACTATGTCTAAGTGAAAACCAAACGAGAGATGCAGGAAGCCTCTTTTTTGAACATCCATCAAAAGTCCAATCATATTAGATATAAACAGAACCAGTAGTCACACTGGAAACACAGGCAAAGCTCTGTGGACCCAGCAGAGCCCAGGAGCCAGTTTTCTGTACCGAGCAGCCGCTGCAGTGATTGGAAATAAACAAAGTTTAGCTCTCTCATTACCCAGAGCCTGTGGTCTAAACAATGCAAGTCTCACTTTTATGACCAATTCCAGTGGACCCAGTGCCCCTGTTTACCATCTCATTATGCTCTACAGGCTCTCTTTACTCGGCCCCAGCTCTTTTAAGTAAGGATTACGTATGACAGCCTGGTATTTACCCATAATGCATCACTGCCAGTGCCGGTTGGACCGTGCCTAACCTTAGTTAACTCTGTCAAGGCAAGGCAAGGCAAGGCAAGGCAAGGCAAGGCAAGGCAAGGCAAGTAAAACACATTATATAATGGCATTTTACAACAGGCATTTAAAAGCAAAGATAATACAAATAAACACAACATGTATACAATACATGTTTAAATGGCATACTGCAGTGCGAATATGAACTGCTCAATTAAAAGCAGCGGCAAAAATATATGTTTTCAGTCTCGATTTGAAAAGAGTTTCTGCGGACGTGCATGATTCGGGCAGTTTGTTCCAGATTGTCGAGGCATAATAGCTAAACGCTGCTTTTCCATGTTTTGTTCTTACTCTTGGAACCGAGAGCAGACCCGTTCCAGAAGACCTGAGACACCTTGATGGTTCATAATTATGTAGGAGATCGTTAATATACTTTGGTCCTAAACCATTTAGTGATTTAAAAACTAGCAATAGTACTTTAAAATCAATTCTTTGGCCGACTGGAAGCCAGTGTAAAGATTTCAGAACCGGACTGATGTGATCCACTCTTTTAGTGTTAGTGAGGACTCGAGCAGCAGCGTTCTGAATCAGCTGCAGCTTTCTGATAGATTTTTTTGTGAGCCCTGTGAATACACTATTACAGTAGTCGAGTCTACTGAAGATAAAAGCATGGACAAGTTTTTCTAAATCCTGTTGTGACATTAGTTTTTTAATCCTAGATATGTTCTTCAGGTGATAGTATGTAGACTTAATAATTGTTGTAATGTGACTGTTAAAATTCAGGTCTGAGTCCATCACTACACCCAGATTTCTAGCTTTATTAGTTCTTTTGTAGTCTGCCGACTGAAGCTCTGCGATTACTTTTAATCGGTCCTTCTTTGCTCCAAAAACAATAATCTCAGTTATAACTCTCACAGGCTCCGCCCTCTACTGGACTCTATAGGTACTACCCTCTATGCAAGCATTCACCTACTGAGATTTATATAGAGTGGCGAAGTCACGCCCATCTACTTCCGGTCCATGGGACCTTATTTCGGAAAAATTATGTATTGAAGTCAATGGAGAGAGAAAACTTATCTTTCGAGCCCGTTTGAATTGTGCCATGAATTACACATATGATGTTTGTCAATCTTAAAAAATCATTTCCATGTCAAAAAAGTCACAGTTTGTCGTAAAGCTGTTGAAATATAAGACTATGAAAAATACGCAACTAGAAAGACTACAAATCCCAGAGTCGCGTAAGTGATGTCACTCATAACTGATGTCACAATTGTTTTCTTCCACTAAAATAGAGATAGCTAAAATAAGATAACTTTAACAAGATGCCTGTGTGCTTAGTACCAGGTTGTTATCATACCAGCAATGGGTCTTGCTCGTTCTTTCGCTTCCCGTCTGATGAAAGGACCAGGAGTGGCTGGATCAAGTTAGCTACCTACAGTAGCTAGTAGCAAGCACGTTAGTTAGCATTACAGCCTTAGCCTTGTCATTTTTATTAGCCTTAACATGAAGTAACATTAAGTAACCCAAAATGTTAAACAGTAGTATCTCTGAGAGCCCTCCATATCCCGGGACTGGAGAACAGGGGGGCCGACCTCATGTCGAGGGGCGGCCCCCTGCCAGGCAAATGGACGCTTCACCCGGAGGTGGTGAAGCAGATCTGGGCCCAGTTCGGGAGAGCGGAAGTGGATCTGTTCGCCAGCCGGCGCAACAGCCACTGTGCCCTGTGGTTCTCCATGGCCCTGAGCGACGACCCGCCCTTGGGGGTGGACGCGTTTGCACACGAGCCATGGCCAAGGAAGCTGCTATACGCCTTTCCATCGCTGCCCTGGGCAATCCCCCAGTTCTGGGGGGCGATCTCTCAAGAGACAAGTGCAATCGGGGCATTACCCACTCTGGGCCGTCCTCTCCAGTCTTGGCTCCTGAGAGGGACAGGCTGAGACAGGGTGGATTGTCTGACAGCGTTGTTCAGTCTATCCAGGCAGCTAGAGCTGGATCCACCACAGCCTGTTACAGGCCAAAGTGGCTAGGATTCCAGCATTGGTGTGAGGAGCGGAGAATAGAGCCCCTATCTTGTGAGTTAGGCTCTATTTTGTCTCAATATCAATTTGCAGAGAAAAACAGAAGAGCTGTAATGTTCAGCTTTCTGAGGACACATTGATTTCTGCTTCTTGTTAAATGATGCATATCATTGCCAGCTTACTGCTGGCCACAAACTCACTCAAATGTGGGAACCCATCAAAAAAGCTGCAAGTTGCCTGTTTATTAAAGGTGGGGTAGGTAATTTTGGAGAAACCAGCTCGAGTGCGCTAGAATTTGAAAATACACAACCGGAAAAAATCTGCCACTTCCTTATAGAGCCCCTCCTCCAACACACACGAACGCGCACATGACCAATGAGGGCACGAGATAAGTTTGTGCACAGATGGAAGGCTGACAGGCAGGTAGGCCATCCAGTTATTTTAGCCGGGCCGGCTTAAATGATTGGTCGTGCTTTTTACAGTACTACGGCTTCCACAGATGATATTTTTTAATGGATTTTTTGTCAAAGCACTTCAGATATTCATTGCTATCGGGATGTTAAGAGCATTCCATGGAATATAACAAAAAGTGTATCTCAAGCCGGTTTCTCAAACTTACCTACCCCACCTTTAAGTTTATTCTCATAGAAAGGTTAAGCAGTAAATATTAAAGCACATACTCTCTGAATAATAAGAAAGAGTTGGCGTACCTCCTTGTAGCGCGGTGATTCTGGAGCGTCCATACTGTGCTCCTCATATCCATCTGCTGATAAAGAAAAAACACCGTAAGCTTTAACAGAGTTGAACAAATATACTGCACAACAAAGTGAGCTTTCTAAAGAGAATCATGTGGCGTTTCTCTGTGCGCATGCATTTCTTAGCAAACATAGAGTCACACAATGCAGAGTGAGTTCACCATCCTAAGTACAGATTTACACTTCCTTCAATAGAACTCTAGAGTAAAGTAGAGTAGGTACAACTAATGTAGATTGTTGTGCAACATACTGCAGCAACTCAAATGCTATGTTATTTCCATCTGGTAGAACAATTACAGCACAAGGACTGAAAAGCAACGTGGTGTGTTTTCAGTCCCTCTTTATGAGAGAGTTGCATTTCTACGTTCCAGTTCCAGAAAGAGAGGAAGGAGAGACTGGCCAACAACATAAACTGCAGAGAGGAGCAGAAGAAGGAGCAAAGGGAGCTCCACAGATACAGTTGAAAGCACACACAGAACAACATGTCACATTAGCTCAGCCTCAGTGGGCCTACACTTACAGCACGACTTCTCTATCATTTCCAACATGAATCACTGTATTACATGTCATGCCATTTAGCTGGCTCTTTTATCCAAAGTGACTCACACACACCTCAATACTGTCTGCACTAGGAGCAGCTGGGTGGAACCACCGACCCTCTGATTGGTAGATGCCCAGTTAACACCCTTGTTTGAAACCTTGTCAACTCCCTCTGACTAAAGCTTCCCCGGCTCTGCTCTCTCTCTCTCTCTCGATATGTCAATGTGAACACAATCCAGGCGAGCCCTGAATGTTCCCAGACTACAGTAGTCAGAGGTGGAAGAAGTAAGTAATTATTTACAGTTAAAGCAGCACTATTGCAGTGTTAAGTACTCAGTTACAAGTTAAAGTCCTGCTTTCGAAATTGTACTTAAAGTGGACCTATCATGCTATATTTGAATAATATATTGTAGGGCCATACCTATATAAAACATGTCTGTGAAGTTTTTTTTTCAAAATACCAAACAGATCATGCATTTTAGCCATGCCTCATTTCGCTCTATTTGCTCTATTCCAGTCCTGTTTTTGCAAGGGCTGATTCTGTGAGAAGTCTTCTTCCCTGCTTTTGTGTCAGACTACAGCGCCACTTACAGGCCTGGCATATGTACTACAGCGTCTCCAGCGCTTTCGAGCGGCAATGGCCGTGGCCGTGGCCGTGGCCCAACCCCCCATTCCCCTGATAGGTGGAGAGTTGCCCATATAGGCGGAGCTCCCTGTTTCTGACGTCAGAACAATTTCAAATCTGTATCAGCTCCGTTGCAGCCCCGTTTTTAGAGATTTGGGTATGGAGGAAAAGAGAGAGGGTTGTGTTTTCTGATACTTGGTGAGTTCCCTGACACACCGGGGACACATATTAATGTATAAAAGATGTACAAAAGTGCATTTTGCATGATAGGTCCCCTTTAAGTTAAAGTAAAACAGTACTCATCAAGCAGAATGGCCCATTTTAAGCACCAGATATGTTTTAATAATGTTTTTAAATATATTTCAATTATCAATGTGTTCATCACTTCGGATGCAATTGGTCAAAGTGGGGTTGATTTGAACTGCTTTTTAAACTACTGGGTAGCTTAACCTATAATAATATATAAGGTATGTTGATTCATATTTTGTATTAGTAACCTGAATTGCCAAGGTAACTAGGAACAAATATGTAAAATAAATGTAGTGGAGTATAAAGTACAACATTTTCCTACAACATGTACTGGAGTAAAAGTACCTCCATTTCACTAATGCCGCGTTTCCACTACACAGCCTCGCTCGGCCCCGCTCGGCCTCCTTTGGCCGCGCCCGGCCTCGTTAGGACCAGCTCACTTTGTGGCGCGTTTCCATTACAGTTTAGGAACCGGGTCAGTATCTATAGTAACAGTGTAGGCGGAGCGACGCTGCTTAAAACTGCCGTGACGTCATCTTCAATGCGACACAACAATGGAGATGTGAAAGCGATCGTTTGCTTGTTTTTTGCTGTGTGGTTTATTATCACAAGAAATAGACAAGAGTTGTTTCGAAAGAGGCGACGTATAGCAAGACGAGGTATAGAAGAAGCTGACGCGAGAGTTCGGGCAGTCCTCCTACGCCGCAGAGACTACAGGACGACTCGAATCACTACTAACTACAATGCTACTTGGTAAGCTAACGTTCGCTAACTAGCAATGTGTTTAGGCTCACTCTCCCTATACGACCAAAGTATTTCAAGTATTTAATTAATTGTAGCTACCACTTTTACGTATTAAAATATGTATGCTTTTGTTTGTGTATTTCAGAAGTTACCGACCGAGCTACCGAGTGGTGGAATGTGATTGTTCCATCTTTCACACACTCAGTGGGTGGAGAACTTCAGGATGCCTGAGGAAAACCTACGTGTAATACCTAAATATTCATTGTATTGTATTGAACATAAATACATCTTTTCTTTTTCACATACATGTGTTTGTCAAATTATTTAAACCAAAAAAATGTTATCAGAATTGACTATTTAGTAAATATTTGAATTTCAAGCACCAGTACTGCCCCCATAATAATAATCTAATAAATTAAGCAAATATCAAAGCAAACTATAAACATAAATACAAAAGTGTAAAACACAACAGAACTATATTCATAAATGTAAGTGTAAAAAATTGTTAACATGGATGGAGGCTAAAGTATCCACAGCATAAAATAATATGATTATGATGGTTTGTCTGAAAGACACAGCCTCAAGGTTCAAGGTTTTTTATTTTGTCATACGAACATAGCTAGTGTAGTTATGACAATGAACATCTTAGGTCACAGGCTCCTCCAACAGTGCAACACAATAACCCAGATCAACAGAAATATAGTGCAAGTAAATATTAAGCGCTGTGCACCGCTCTCTTTGTATAGGTGTTTTCTTTTGTTCTCTTCTCTTTGAAATATATAAGCAATGTGTTTGAGTCTAGCACAACGAGGGTATTACAATTGAGTAATTTTTCTACATGTATTTATCATGTATTCTTAATACCATTATGTAATGTTATGTTTTAGAGGAGGACCTCAAGCTAGCAAACTCAATTTCAAACAGTATGCAGAGTTGTCCTGCTAAAGAGTTAAAATGTATTATTTAACCAAGTATTTATTCTCTTATTTGCTTTAATTGCAACAGATGATAAAGGTTTCACTGTGATAAGTATTCTCTTAAATCCATAAACCCCTGTACAGTGCTTTGTGGACGATGGTGTTTATGATATTTCTGACTGCAGAGGGACGCCTAGATGATGCCATCTTTCTGTGCGATCGCTGGTGGGTGCAATTATTTATCAACAAGCAATAAGATAAGACATGGCATTGATTCTGCTGGGCCAGTTGCCGTTCCTGCAGGGCCAGATCCTCTCCTCCTCGGTTTGTGCTGTTGATGCAGAGGACGTTGTTCGGAACTGTTCCTCCTCGCTAGTCCCAATGTAATCATCTAGAACAGAAACATGACTTGTAAATTCCACAAACTACTGCAGCACAATACTATAAATAGCAACAACAACTATAGAAAAGACAAACTGAACGTAAACAATGGCACATATGGTGTTAGCAAACAATAGCTCTCGCTAATGCTATCTGCCTAGCTAGCCTTCGGGGCTCCATCGGGGTTGTCGAACATAAATGTAAGGATAAAATAGACTTATTTGTTAGAAGTGAGCTTTAAAACAGATAGGGACACAAAGCAGGGACACAAAGCTTTCAAGCAAATAACACAGCGTTAGCAAAAACGTACCATGCAGACTCCAGTAACGCCGTTGGAGAGTCCAGTGTCTGTGTAGAGACCTCCTGAAAGACTTTGATATTGCGAGTTGTCCCGTCGAGCACCCGCTGGACCTTATCATCTGCAATATAATGGACGTCGTCACTTCCTCGACCGACCATGGTGTGCTTTTCTTTGCCATTGTTGTAGCTCCTCCGTTAACAAAAATGCTGTTTGTAAAAATGGATTATCTCGCGCGCAGATTGTGACGATTCTCTCCGACCAATCAGCAGCCGAGAGCGTTGACGTCACAAACACAGCCCGGTTGCCTCTGGCCCTGGCCCCACGATTTTATGAGGCCAGAAAAACTGAGAATTAGGACCAGCCGGCCGGTACTAGGCCAAGTGGAAACGCAACCACAAACGGGCCGCTGACGTCACAGCCCTCTTAAACCGGGCTGCGCGCTGTAGTGGAAACGCGCCATTACATACAGTACTTGAGTAAATGTATTCAGTTACATCCCACAACTGACAGTAGCAATGTATCAATCGTTCAACCTGTCTTTATTAGTCTCAATTGCAAAACATATATATATTATTTACTAAACCATGCAGCAGCATAGGTATTGAACACATGTGAGTCCTGAATGGATCTGAAGAAGACCACACACTTGGCTGGACTAAGCCTCAAAGGCCCTGAGGGAATCAAATGTGTGGTCTTTGAATCCTGTTTGTTGCAATTTGATGGAACACATATTTATTGATAAAGGGCCCCTCACCATGACAGCAAATGGTAAAAATTAAGGGGAACCTTAACATTTTGGATATTGCCAGATTACAACAAACCCATGATGCATATAGTGCCACGTGCCTGGTTGCTAATCCAGTCTAGACCACCCAGACTCACTGAAAATGATTGCAAAATGTCTGAGAACCGTTGCATATGATGTGAATAGCACACAGCAGGACTGTGATTTAAAATATGTTGACTGTGATTTGCTACATATGAGCTCAAGAGTCTCAGTCCTGTGCACAGGTATTGGGGTAAATAGTTGTTACACATGTTTTAATAGCATTTTAAGCAATGCTAGCAACAGGGATGGAAAATTCAGCCGGTCCGTCTGTCAATTATTTAGGTCAACAGATATCTATCAAACAATTTGATGTAGTACTTCTAGAAAAATGTGACAGTTTTCAAAAGAAGAGTCGCGATAATTCAGACGATTGTCTGACTTTTTTCTCTAGCATAGTCAATGTTTAAACTTCATAACATTATAACTGTAAAATGAATAAAAGACTTGTAAAGTGCTAATTTTCCAATGCTAGCATGCTAACACACTAAAGTAAGATTGTGAACAGGGTTAACCCGCAGTGCTTCATCCGCATTTTAGCATTGCCATTGAGAGGAAGTTAGCATGTTGATGTTAGCAGTTAGCTCAAAGCACTGCTTTGATAGTATGTGCACAGGAATTAAAAAATCTAACTCTTTCTACATGTTTTTGGCCTTTTTCTCCACTGCCAAACAGCGTTTAAGGTTACTGCAAACTGAGCTTTTGTAAAACTCACGTTGAGATTTTTCAGAAGCTCAATTTTCAGTGTTGACGTAAAAAACGTATTTTGTTTTGTTTTTAACATCACAGTGCGAGGCGTCACAAATACACTTCAGTTGTGTTTTTCCTGTGTACGGAGATTTGTATCCAAACAGTGATAGTGTAGCGTCCGAGGTGTTAGGGCTTCAAAGATAATTCTGTATCACAAAAACTCAGGAACTTTGTACTTGTGGAGCGTCACAAACAGCGCCTCCGTTTATTACTTTTTCACTTTCACTCTCCACAACTTCAGGACAGCCTGCGCATGCTCAAAACACATGAACTCTCACCCCAATGCTTACAATAGTGTTGACATTATTTATTTTTATAGTAGAAGAAAAGTATTTTAGAAAATGACCAATGTATGTTTTCTTTGGCACATAAAGCACCAAACTTTAAAACATCAAGTCAGAAGATAATATAGTTATTTAGTTCAGTCTACTTACTGTGGACCTCAGGTATGCTCTGTGTATCATATCCATGAGGGTCTGAAAAACAGAAAATATGAAACAAGGATGACCTATTTAGTGTTATTTACACTTTGAAATGAAAATGAATGAGGTTAGGTTTGCAATTTTGCAATTCAGTAACTATGCTAAACAGCTCAGCGAATTGGAGTAATTCAGGTAGTCCTTATTTTCCACATAAAACTATAATTAGAAGCAGAAGCAGATGTAGCACCATGATCAGAGGAGCTGAGGTTAGCTGGCTAATCGAGTTGAACTCCTTTATGCAACACATGTGAACAAAGACTCTGCTGTTAGCAACAGTGTTGTATCTCCCCATGCACAAAGCTACTGTACACAGAATGACACCATGCGAGCTGTGGGGCCCGGCGGACCACAGCAGAACAGCCAGAGAATGTGAGTGAGAGTACAGTCATGCATGGGAAATTGAATCCAAGCGATCACATGAAGGTCTGCATGTGATGAGTGGCTGATGGTTTTTAACATGATGCATCTGTTGACATGTTCTCAGCTGTATCTAACAACAACACAATGCATCTGTGCTCACTGTGCGCTGTTTCTACATGAAGACTGTCTCTCTTTCTGTCTGATTCTCGTCGTTCTGCTCAACTGAATCCTCCAATTCCAGGCGCAGATTGAGACACATGTGACTGGATGATCACAAGGCCCTCTGGGCTAAGCCAGCAAACCAACTTTATATTTTTTATACCCCGTCCAAAAATCCTCCAGGGTGACTCAGCGAAAGCATTACCAGGAGCCCTGTCTCTTCAGAATTCATTGATCTCCTGATGCTCTGATCTCACATGAAGCCCTGCTGTGCACAATCATTCGTAAAGCTGATAAAGTGTGCTTCAAGAGCATTTGTTTTATATGCTCTGGGTTTGGCCAAAGGATATTGGCAATGCTACGTGAGCAACTTAAAAAAGAGAGAATAAGTGCCGGAAAGGTTTTGAAAAAGCCTCATGCCGTCACTGCATCAGACTTTAAACACAAGCAGCAAACATAAACAGGACTTTTCACCACATTAAAATCTCAGGAAATAATGTGTGAAGAGGTACAGCTGCATTGTTAATGTCCCAACACACTGGTCAGTTAAGGACATTGGAGGTCTTCTGTCAGGAACTAAGACTGTGACACTCGGCAAAGCTGTGAAGAGCCAGAGCCGGAAAAAGAGAAAAGATGGGAGAGATTAAAGCCTGTGACAGATTTGGCAGCCTCCGGCTTACTATCTGAGACAGAGAAAGGAAATGACTGGCTCTCATAGACAGATGGTGGACAAATGTAAGAAATAGACCAACAGTAAGTTTCTTGGAGAGGAAAACGTGAGCGACCAGAACAGCTGAAAGGATCCCCGTTAGAGATTTTATTTTATTTATTTTTATTTTACCTTTATTTAACCAGGATAGGTCTCATTGAGATTAAAAATCTCTTTCTCAAGAGAGTCCTGGCCCAAGAATGGTTACAGACAATTAAAAAAAAAAAAACACACAATCACAACACAGTCATACACCAAGTTTAGCCAAAGCATTTACAGACACAGCGGCCTGCTTCAAGGTCAGTTAAAGTTGCTTTGAGTGTGTTTAATGAGACCAGCTCTCTGAGTTTCAGCTCAGTTTGAAGCAGGTTCCAAGCTTGAGGGGCAGCGTAACTGAACGCCCTTTTCCCCAGTTCAGTACGGACCTTTGGTACAGTTAAAAGGAAAAAGTTCTTGGAGCGAAGCCGATAAGATCCTGTGCATTTTCTGTTTATGTATATCCTTAGATAAGCACCAAGAATAGCCTTATAGGATGTGCCAATGTTTCAGTCTACGCGTGGTCAGGGAAGACCATCCAATACAAGTGTATAGATTGCAGTGGTGCGTCAAGGTTTTGAGGTTTGTGATGAATCTCAGTGCACTGTGGTAGACGGTATCCAGCGAGTGAAGGCACTGAGAAGATGCATTCATATAAACCACATCTCCATAATCCAGACAGAAAGGTTGCAGACACTAGTCTCTTTTTGGCCTCATAGGAAAAACAGGACTTGTTTCTAAAAAAACAACCTAATTTTATTCTTAATTTTTTCAAGAGTTCCACAATCTGTGGTTTAAAAGAAAGCGAATTGTCAATTATAATTCCAAGATACTTATACTGCAACACAGATTCAATCTCCGACCCCTGCAAGGTGGTGATAGGAGGAAGGCTCAAGACCTTGGGTTTTGCTTTCGAGAACATCATTAGCTTTGTTTTGGCAGCATTTAAAACAAGTTTCAAATCACTCATGTTGGATTGTACAATGTTAAAAGTATTCTGGAGCTGACAAAGAGCCTAATGATTTAATAGTTTTCCAGAATTTAAGGGGATTATTTAGGTTGTCTGAAGTGTCCAAGACCTGTACTCCTGGCTTTTGACCATGCTACATTGCGCTCGTGTAGGGTTTTAGTCTTAGGGACTTTTGTATTCCGTACCGTGGCAATGACACAGTGGTCACTGATGTCATTTGCAAATGCAGAAGCAGGGGTGTATTTATGAGAAGCATTTGTAAGGATTAGATCAATTAAGGAGGATTTTTCAGGAGATTTCAGATTGGGTCTAGTGGGACTGCCAACAATCTGAAAGAGATTTAAGGAATTGCAGTATGTTTTAACATCATCAGATGCTGGTAGCAGCCAGTTCCAGTTAAGGTCACCCACAATGACAATTTCAGTATAGTTAAGACTGGACAAAAGCTGCATTAAAGATAGTAAAGCGTCGCTGACAGCTGAAGGTGGTCTGTAGCAACCAACAACAGTAATATGGAGCGCTTTTGATACTTCCAAGTCAAGAGCCAAAAGTTCAAATTGTTTTGTCAGTGATGTAGAGAGAATAATTTGTACATGAAACTTCGATTTAACATAGACTGCAACACCTCCACCCTTTTTAGGTCGATCAGTCCTATTGACGCCTATTATAGCCGTCAATGCAAATATCCTTGCTTGAAATTGATTTGGTTAGCCAAGTTTCAGATATCACTATTATATCAGCATCGGTTGAATGTGCCCAAATACGAATCATATCCATTTTAGCAATCAAACTGCGCACATTCAAATGAATGAGACCAAGACCAGACCTAGATTTAAAATCTGCAGGGGTGTTACAATTAACTCAAGAATCTGGTCCAGGGTTAGGTTGCACATTTCCTGAAATCAACAATAATAATAGTACAATTAGACACCTATAGACAGGCCTAGGTGGACTTTTTGACGGCTCTCTCTTAGTGTTTAAACCTAACACAAAATCATGAAGATGGCTTGAAGAAATAATAAAGTTGTCTAGTAGAGCCATGAGGCTAATCAGACGGGCCAAGTCCACAGATCCGCACTTGACAGATGCGGGAGAGAGGATCAGAGGGAAGGGGCTCAACATCGTGCCCAGCGGACTGCAAGAGGAGCACGTTCCCCGGCCTGGGTAAACCGGGGTTGAGAGTGATGGACGGGATATTTCGGTCCCGTGGGGACTTCCCCCAGTGCTGCTCCAAATTGAAAGGGATAGAACAGCCAAAAGCAGGGACACAATTAAAATCCCGCGAAACGTGGAGAACCCAACCAAAACAGCAGACTCTTGAGCTCCACGCCACAAGACAAGTTAGTGCAGAACGAAATCAGGGTCAATCCCATATAAATCTGTTCCGGAAATGTTCAACCACCCGATCAGCTGGGGACGATGCGTGTTGTGACGTCACATGTAAACAGGAAGCCCGACCCGATGCATCGCTGGTTTAAAAATAAAAAAACTGGATCAGTAGGGATCGTAAAACAGTCAGATACAGTTCAGTGCACAATTCAAAAAGATAGGAACTTCCCTTTAGGATGAGAAAAATAATTGGACCCATCAAGATCAACGATGTGTAGTCCGGTTGCCGAGTTGAACAGGCTCCAATAGTCCAAGTAGCCGGTATTTCCGCCGGTAAGTCACAATACTACATTTACGATTAGGATTTGATATGTAGCAGTTGAAAAATTGAAAGTGTCCGCCAGACAACTTAGAAGTAATCACACAAGTCATACAGACATACGGACACAGAACGAGACGTGCTGCCATCTTGGATGACTTTAGTTCCACCTGGAGTAAATTCACGAAATGTGTGGAGCGCAACTTGAGGGCCTTCAAAAATATGAAAATGTTATATTATATGATGATGAGGTGAGATGAGAATCTCCCCTTGCCCCAAGTGACTGCAGAAGCTATAACATTCATTCTAATGAAGTCTTTGCTGCTCGCATTTACTTGACAAATCTGCATTCTGTTGCCCACTGGGAAAATATGCTGCATTTCCGAAAAAATAAATGCATTAACAGGTCCATGTCTTTAGCTTGTAAACTGACACAAACATGTGATGCACTTGTTATGCCGACGATTTGCCAATGTGCAATTCAACAGGTTATTATACATTCTCTATGCAGTTGAGGTGCAGTATGCAGCTGTTGAATCTCCTTGAAGCCTTTCATTTATGGGGGATTTCTTATGGTAAGCTGGAGCCTACTTCCAGCAATGCTCTGCAGCTCAACTTCTGACCTGCAGCACCTCCACAGGGCTCGTAAAGAAATGAGTGAAGCTGATGGGAATGTGTTAAGGTTGCCCCTTTAAAGTCACCTTGACCTTAGGTCTGACATTGTACCACATTTGTAACCTTTGATTTGCCCCGCTTCTCATTTATATAGACATTCCTACTTGGCAGCTGCCCTGACAAACTCCAGTTTTTGACTGCTGAGCTTCATCAGCTGGGGGTTAATCTCTTTGCTTAAGGGCCACACTGACATCATTTATTAAGTGTAACACGTGGACTTGTACCACATACTGATTTGCACAAATGGATCAAGGATTAAAGCATTCCAGACACAAGCATTTCAATCATTTCTCACACGCATTAGGTTGGGAGAATCCTGGAAACCAATTTAGTAACACAACTTCACGGTTATTTTCTGTACAGAAAACCACAGACAACGGCATCTTGATACTAAAAACTCACCTTCTAAGTCATTCTGAGAGCCACTGTGGTCCCCGCTCAACCTCTTGAAGAGTGATCTCATCACCTTTGCACTGCCAAAGCGCTTGAAGCGGGCACGCACATTTTCGTGGTACCACTCCAAAGTACCGATCTTGAGGACCCTGGTAAAGGAAATAGGAACTAAAGACTTAAACACAGATCAGTCACAAATACAACTGAAAATACCTGGGAAAACACATGTCCCACACAGGGACTGGATATGTCTCTTTTGTCAAATGTAAGACATTATTGGCTGCTATGGTGAGTGCTGGTCTAAGTCTGAGATGCATAGCATGATATTTACCAGACATTGGCAGAGCTCAGCCACATCTGAGCAAACTATAGGATACAGTAACATATGGAGCTGCAGCGGTATGGTTGAATTGAATCATGTTTCCAAAAAACGTGTATGTATACACTATATACTGTATATACATGCTGCAGCATTGTTACTGCATTCTAACACATATTTAGACCTTAGTTGAGCTGCCAAGCACAACAAACAAAGTATGTGTCCACTTTGAAGCATAACACTAGGGTTCAGTTTATGCAAATAAATTACCAAATAGTTTTGTTGTGAATAAATACAGTGGAACAAGGCCCATGCTATAGATGAGAGCAGTTACCGTTTCATTATTTACATTATTTAGTGTAACATTAGTATCAGTTGATACAACTTTTTCAAATATAAAAACGTTATAATCTGATAACTCATTTGCTCCACTTTCATCCATCATTGGCCCCATTACTTTATTAGTACACAGTGGAACAGTAGATCATGAAATTAGCACCCATACGTACTGAATCCAGATCTGCACTCCTCAAATTTCCTTTTATACTAACTACTGGCTTAATTAGTTGTTTGTCCTCTCCTACCTGGCCATGCGGCAGGGGTCACACACCCAGCCGTGCTCCTTCTTGTTGTACAGGCTGCAGGACTTGCAGACGTGCAGCTGGCAGTCCAGACACTGACGCCTGCTGTTCACCAGGAACTTGAAGGGCTCCAGACAGCGAATACAGTGAGACTCACTCAGACTGCTCTGGTTCCCCAACAACTTTCTCTTGGTGTCCTCTTTTTCAATCTTTGTCTTTAGGTCTCTAAGTAACAAACAAAAAAACAGCAGTTGACTACATACAAAGAAAGAGATGAGTGTGTTTCTTGATGAAACATTGTTGAATGTATCCTTGAGTCCATGATCAATTATTGTAGTTAATAAACAGAACTCCACAAGAAAGTGAAAACCACTTTTTACTGTATGGGTCCATACAGCATCACAGAAGATGGTTCTGTATGTATGTATGTATGTATGTATGTATGTATGTATGTATAGATAGATAGATAGATAGATAGATAGATAGATACTTTATTTATCCCAAATTGGGAACATTTTTGTTCCAGCAGCAGTGTTGTCAAGCAACATAATAGGACTTTTTGCAATACCATGGCTTCCTTGTGTCAATATGGCCATCTGGTATGCTAGGCAAGTTAAACAAACACTGCACTGTGTGCAATAGCTTTTGACCAAGGGTGGTATTAGACATTGAAGGAGGGTTGATTACTGGAGCTCTACTGCCTATTGGTATCTTCTATCACAGTTAATATTGCTGCAGTAATAAGCACTTTTTGAATGTACATCTTGGGACAGGACACTTTATTGGAAAATTGTGTTCTACATTGAGCCTGGCTTGAAACAGGGTTTGCACACTGTTCATAAATAAATGCAGACAAATGTGGTATCAAGTCTGCTCAAAGACCAAAACCAGAGCATTGGCTCACTTTATATGGCAACCAGCAGAAATACTGAGCAGATGGATAAACTGTTCTGATACGTTTCTCCTCCTAACATCTTAAATGGTCATTTTTATGTTTCTGTTTATATATTGGTACATAAAAAAGCAGCAGAGTTGCTGGTGGATGTAACATTGGATGAAGCCAGGCTGTTTCTACCTGATTCCAGTATTTATGCTAAGCTAACCATACCATATCCTACACAACTCATCATTCCCACAGAAACAAAAGCCAAAAAGCACATTTCACAAAATGTTCAACAAACAACTGTTGAGCCGAGGACATTTTAAAGCTAAATGTCCAACGCATTACTCACCTTAAAGGTTTACAGCTCAACAAACCATAAACCAATCCATCAAACAGAGATGTGGTGAGTCAGAATGCTGGCCGACAATTCTGATTAGTTGATGTTATGCTTGGTAGCATGGACATATTCATTTTGGCAGCTTTGTGTTAACATTATTATCAGCCTTGTCACAAAGGAAAAGTCTACAAACTGGTGCTTCTCCAGGAACAAGGAGTTCTACGGTTACATGTGAGAACAAATGATCAAGATATATTAGATACTTATTGCTGTAACATTCATAATACTGTATCTTATCAAATTGGAAGGAGTCTTCGTATGTCTGTTGATCGTGATGTTTGTTAAATGTTTGTTTCCTTGTATCTTGTCTTAAATATTTGTCCTTGTTGACGTGGTAAATTGAGCGTCTGAGTGGATATACGAGTGCACTAATGGTTGGTTTATTGTTCCCTGCGTCATTCGATCAGAAAAAATGTGTTTGTTCCTATAAATTACTTGTTACCTACAGACTGCATATATTTCTAAATGTAGCCTGTGTATTTAGCCACAGGGGGGGGGGTGCTAGTGGAGCCTCGCAGTGGGGAAACTGTGGCACGCTTACACTGTAGGTGCGCCGCATTTGCGCTTCAGATGAGGCTCCCTCCGCAAAGTGAAGAACCCTCCGCAAGATGAGGCCCCTTCCGCGAGGTGAGGCCCCACGCAGTCTGCAGTCACAGTTTTACTTAGTTCATGAACATTAAGTTATTATATCAAAAAAACAAAAAAACGTTTCCTAGCCTTTCATTTTTCTACCTCCATATAAATCAGTACTTTTTCTGGTAGCCACACTCTGAGTTAGCAGAGAAATTGCATGTTTTTCTTTATTTAAATCCTAACCTCAATATGTCTTTTAATATTAAGTAAAATGTGCTCAATGGATACAAAAATACTTCATCTTCAGCTAACAGAACCTGTGACTTCTACTCAATAACTCCAAACCAAATCATATTTCCTGTTCTCAGTGGCTTGGCACCTCTTCACAGGAGAGTTTTGATCTATTGCTCAATGTCAGACCATTCTCTTTAGCAAAGTTTGGAGCATTGTTGCTGATGGTTGGAAAAGTAACAGCCTGACTCAGTGCTGAAAGATGCTGACGGTAGTGGAGAGGAAAACTCAGATAACAAAAGCCAAATGTGACACAGCGTGGGTGGAGTTTGGCAAAACACCCAGTGAGGATGAGATGATGCTTATTGTTTATTAAATATTTTTTTAGGCCATGCTTTTTAAATTATAGTCCAGATCAACAGGATGAATTGTATACTTTGTGAGAATCCAATAACCCCCATCTGCTGGCCATTAGCGATGTGATTAAAAAGTCAAATCTGTCAAATCTGCCTTGCTCTGAAACATTAAAACCCCCAGGTCTACACAGGACAGTGACTCAATAACATGTGTGCTGTAAGTCTTCCAGCCACTGAAACATGGCCAGCATGGTCAACATCAGAGACCAGAGGTGTGGTGTCAGCACTCTATAGTAGTTGATGTGATTAGCTGCAGAGTTCTTTTTGGCTTTTTGACCCAAAAATGGGTAAAAGCTCTGGAGAATTTCAAGTACATTATTATTATTTTTATCTTTGATCTTATTTTTGATTGTATTAATCTGTGTGAATCTGTGCTATCTTGTTTTTCACCCTTACCCTGTTGCTGTTTGAACTACTGAATTTCCCCACGGGGATTAATAAAGGTCCATCTTATTTTACATTTAGCCACAGGGGGGGTGCTAGTGGAGCCTCGCAGCGGCAACACTGTGGCATGCTTACACTGTAGGTGCGCCGCATTTGCGCTTCAGATGAGGCTCCCTCCGCAAATGTTTTATTTTTGCTTTTAAATGAGTGTTTCTAGATATCATTTTATAATATGTTTCTTAATGCTCTTAATGTCTTTTATTTTTGTAAAGCACTTTGTATTTGTAGTATTTATGGCCACCTGAGGGATATTAGTTTAATGGAAAAGTTACAATCTCCTTGTTCACTTTTGTGGCACCTATGAAGATAACCGCTCGTTACAGGTGTAAGACAATGGGTCTGTTGCTCTAGCTTTGGCTACTACCTCAACTGCTGCTGGAAAACGAAAAATGCACAAATAATACTCACCGCACATGATATTTTCTCAGAATTACTGTGAATGTTATTTCTAATGCACCACATGAGGACACACAAGCATGCACCGGTGGGAATCCCTGGGTCTGAGGCAGGGTGGAAGTGCCTAAACCTGCATTCATTCTAATAGTAACAAAAAGATTGTATAGAAGTCTAAGAGAAGTCGCTAAAATGAGCAATCCAATTAACATCAGAACAAGCATGATTTATTGATGCAACTTGCTAACCAAACTGGCTAGCTAGCCAAGATAGCGACGGCCAAAATGCCAGACTGAGAACTTTGAAACGATGCATCTACTTCTTATACTGTAAGTGCAAACTGTGCACATGCATAAAGTCATGCTACTCATTTCACACTCACCCACAACACCCTAGAAAAAACATTAATGTAAATAATTCTGGAATAAAACATTAAAGAAAGATCTTTTGTTTTCTTTTTATTGTAATGTTTTTATTCTGAAAATAAGGTCATAAAAAAGCTTTACTTGATAATTAGTACAGGTAACTATATTCCTTTTTTAAAGCAGTTTTTACACGTTACGCACTTGAGTACGTTCTCCAAATCCTTATTTTTCCTCAGTATTTGATTAAAAACAGTTACTGCAGAGGAATCCGGGAGCGGCAGCCAGACTTAAACACAGACACCTTGGAAGAGCAGAGCAGCTGCTGAATGTTTCCATACATGGTGATCCTCTCTGTCAGTCCACACAGATCAATGCTCTCTATTCAGATGAACAGATCTCTTAACCTGGAACTGTCATTTTACACACACACACACACACACACACACACACACACACACACACACACACACACACACACACACACACACACACACACACACACACACACACACACACACACACACACACACACACACACACACACACACACACACACACACACACACACACACACACACACACACACACACACACACACACACACACACACACACACACACACACACACACACACACACACACACACACACACACACACACACACACACACACACACACACACACACACACACACACACACACACACACACACACACACACACACACACACACACACACACACACACACACACACACACACACACACACCTATTTATCCTCATAATGACTGTGACCTATCCTTATCCAGTCAAGCAAACATTATTCAGTTCTACTACTGTATCAGCTAAACTTAATTTAGTTTTAGAAATTGAAAACAAGTTATTTGTCTATCTCTCCACAGGAAGCTAAGGCCAATTGGGGTCAGTGGAAATAAGCTATAAAAAAATATGTTATAGTTGTATGACATTTTTTATATTATAAAGATATGACATTTTTTGGAGATAATCCAGGGGATGACAAATACCAAGACAGACCCTTTCTAATGCAGATTTCAGTTAATTAGTATATTATAATATGAATAACAATTTTAATTCTAACATAAACCAAATCTTTGAATTCCAACGATTTAAAAAAACCAAACACACAATGATCTAGTACTACACTTCTGTGATGCAATGCCTGTTATTTTGGTGGACTGGTTATAGCAAAACAAAGACAAAATCGTCGCCAACATAAACAACTTTATTCTTTAATCCAACATATTTGGTTTTACGAGATTTAGACGTGACAGTTTTATATGTAAACCACATGAAGATCTGTATGTATTTAAAGATTGCAGAGGCCATGAATGAAAAAAAGTTGCTTCAGCAGCAAACAACTGCTCATTTGAATGAAAAACAAATAGCTGAGGGAGAACTCTGGCAGGGAGAGCAACTTAAGTGGAGGAGATTGAAGAAGGAACGTGTTTTATTTGTGAAGGGAGCTCACAAACAAGCACAATCCTGCATGGCACCATGTGGAAA